TTAGGCTTCGACGCCTTGTGTTTCAACTTTGAAGCTTCAGCTCCGACACATCCGAATCGATAACTCTACTCCGCGCGGATTGGGGGCTCGCAGTCCCCTTTAATCACCTTCTCGGACACGAGAAGTTTCTAGGCCCATAATGTATGGGGACGCCCACACACGAAGCCAAATCAGCATCCCGATTTGATGTTCAAGCCACGAAATCACGGAGTCTGAGAACAAGCACATCAAGGTGGTGATCCTTCCGCAGACCTTGTTTTTGCTGTTCTGTGCCGTCACGAGCCACGGGTTTAGGGCCTCAACCCTCGACTCTACACTCGTCATGAAAACAAGGTCTCAGTTCAGCGAAGCAGGTCGGAAAGATCCGTGGGACCTTTCGAATCTGGATGTTTGAGGCCCGAATCTTTGTTCACCGAAGTTGCTCACGATGCCTCTGCCTACTTCCACAGATGCTTTTGCTTTTTTTTGCATCCGGGCTTGGGAAGTCGGCAGATGCTTTGGACCGGATTCAGATCTGTTCGGAATCTGAAGCCGGAAGCTTGACGTAGCAGGTCGGATATCTCAGATAGCACCGAGCAGGGTTTTCAAAACAGGTTTGGCGTATGGTTCTGGGTGTGGGCTGTGGGCAAACTGTCACAGCTGCATAAGGTTGAGCGTGCAAGCATGTATACTCACGTGGTCTGCAAGACATCCTCCAAAAACCATAAAGCAGCCATGAGGCGTAGCCGAAGCCCGTCATGGTGCGGGCTTGCCGCTGCGTCCTGGAAGCTTGTCGCCACTAGTGCCCCCCTTCGACCACTTCTCCACATGAACATTGCTCGAAGATAATACGAGCTCTCTACCGCAAGTGTGTACCAGGATGGACGGCACCCGATTTCTGATAATCGTAACACGGCTTTGAGGAGCAATGTAAGCCTAACACAAGCTCGGAAAGACGGTCATTGCGAAGTGACGAAATTTCCTGAAGAAGAACCAGCACGTGGCAGTAAACGCAGTTACAGTTTACCCGATACTTCTTCTTTGGGTTGGCCTAAGTGTGTCCTCAATGCCGTGTCTTCCACCAGCGCTAGGTACTCGTCAGTTGCTGGTTCGAGCTGTGAGGCTACCGGTAGGGATGGTGATTGCGCTGTGATGGTTCTGATGACTAGCTGTGTTGCATGTCTAGCTAGCTGGCGTCGTAGGCACTGCTTCGAACGATGATGGTGATAATGATGGTGATGGTGGCGGTGGTGGTGGCGGTGGTGGTGGCACAGTGGCATGGGAACATTGCGGCAGTTGTGGTGGTCGGTGGTGATGACGGCAGAGATGAAACCTTTGCAGCGGAGAGGTCAGCGACAGTGTGAGGACTTCCGGAGTGAAGAGGGATAGCAATGACGAAGCTGGCAACCATGATAACGAAACCCATGGCAACAACGATAATCAACGGCTGGACGATATCTAATGTGACAAGTGTGATATTGAGGATGTTGGTGATCAACCATGCCACTCATCTTGATTGCCAATGTGATAAACTGACGCAGGTGAGGCTTGTTCGAAACTTTGGTGCCACGCTATACATGTAGCTGCTGGTTTCGGCGACGAGAGCGCTGATTGTGACCGTGAGGTCATGAAGACGGCCACCGAGGCTGGGCTGCGCTCGCTGGGCTGCGCTGCAGCAGGCCGGAAGCCTCTAAAGAACAAGCCTCTAAAGCCCCCGGCAGCGGGGACCTCGTGGGCCGGGCCCAACGGAGGCTGAGGAGCAGCGAGCTCTGGAAGGCGACCCATCCCCGAGGGACCCGCTGGTTCCTGGAAAGTGACTGCGCTTTTGAGACATTCTGGTAAATGGCACCTTCTCCCTCAGAGCCCTGCAAGTCTAAAAAAAGCCTCATAACGAGCAGAGAAGCCTCCCAAAACCTGAACCCCATGTCATCATCATGGGCTGATATGATAGGATTCAACAGCCCGCAAGCTCAAGCCTCACAGTTCCACCGGGCACCAGCGGCGCCCCAGCCAAAGTCGGGCGCGCCGGTGGCGTCGCCAAGGCCATGAACCATGGGAGGGGATCTGATTACAGGGCTCTGCAGGGATTGGTTGGAGCTTGCTGCTCTGCTTGAACCACTCCGTAAGGCAACTACGAGGGCTTATGTGAGCTGGCCTGCAGGACATCTCAACGCACAAAGCCTCCACCGAATGTGGAGAACAGGTGTGACATGCAAGCTTGAGCTAAGCTTGGATTTTGGTAGGGCTTGCTGTTGCCTCGATGAGGTCTAACGGGAGCAGTGGCAGCCAGGTCTGGGCTCGGGGCGGAGCTTCAAGCTGCGGCAACGCTTTCAACTTATGGCTACACCGCAGCAAGCCTCACCCTGACCAGGCCTCTGATTTTGTCTGAGACCGGCAGCTTGGCAGTGTGTCTAAAGCTGGCTGGCAAAGCACATTCCTAGACAGTCCACACCTTTGGCTTCCTGCCTTGACATAGGACTCTCTGCGCCGGTGCACCAAAGATGGCTTCCCTTGCTTGACGAATGCCCACCTCCCAAATCCAAAGACCCTAGCGAATCAACGTGGCGAATCTCACAAGAAGTCTGCCAGCTCTTTCGGTGTTGGTCGATGTCTAGGCCGACCCTGGCCAGGCAGCGCAGAGGCACAAACCACTCCCACCGTTCCAACGTCATGATGCAGCTGGTTCGAAAACCTTCGGTCTGCTTCTCTCTCAGGAAACTGTAAGCTCCGGGAACAGGTTAACAGGTGCTTGTTTACAAGTGGAGATTGATGAACCTGTGCTTAAAGCTTGCTTACTGGGACCCCAAGGAACTGCAGGCTGTAGTTCTGGTCTTGAGCATCGCCCCGATAATATCTCTCCGGATTTCCCCAGACAAGATTGTAATCGCCAGGGCGAAAAGCTTTTCCGGCAGGTTTTGCGGGATATGGCCTCAGGCCGATAAACCGGTTGATTTCGCTCATTCGGATGCGCTTCTGCGTGGAGAACCAGCTGTCATTCGCATATAGAGCAGCATTGTTGTTGTGGAACCCCCACGTCCGCGATGCTGTTGGTGGATACTTGGAGAATGCGCGGTCAAACTTGTCCCTGTCCACCTTGCTCTTGGATGATCGAAGCAGTAGGTTTGCCAAACTCTTTCCGGCAGAGAACACCGACTTGACGGCACCCATGTCAAAGAGACGGCTCGCAGTGAAGCGTTATGTGAGGCAAGACTAACCCGAGCAGGTAATTATGGCTATAGCTTCAACTCGCGGCACATTGGCTTGCATGCTTCAACGGCTCGCCTGGCTTGATCCAGAATGCCTCGTGATGTGTCCATAGCCTATCTCCCTGAATTGCAGGCCATTGAACGGACTAACAGCCAGTGGCTGGCCGGAATGACCCGGTAAGATATGCGAAACTTTTGCTAAGGGCAAGGAAAGCTTAAGACTTCGCCTCCTGGGCCAAAGGCCCTAGAGCTATCGCTAGTTCAATCTCAACAAGAGATGGCCCCTTCTCGTGACAGCAAGGGCTAAATCCCTGAAGTTCTCCTAACACTTTGTTCGATTGAAGGTCAACATGCAGCTTGGAACAAAAGCTCAACTCAGCGCCGTGTATCTAGCTGGTGCCACATCATCATGCCTTTCGTTCTCCAGGTTACTCACAGCCCCACGACCGACAATTAGGCTGAGCACTCCACGGCGAAAACTGCCAAATTTCGTGACATAGAACATAGCTGACAGACAATGTGCTCAGAACAAGCTTGGCTACACAGAAAGCTTCTGCGGACCATCCCGTGGATTATGAAAACGCAACATTCGTCCCCACCTACCATGGGTAGCATAAGAAACATCCCTAACCCCTTGCGCACTTGCTGACGGGATCGTCGAGGTCGATTTGCCTGCATAGTCTCAAATCTTGGCCTGTTTGAAGCAAAAACCACCAACCAAAACACCTGCCGCTGTTCTTGGACATATTCAAGCACTCGTGCACTGTTTTGAGGAAGGTGATACTGCTGATGCTTTTTGAAGCAGGGTTCTGCAGCTATGCCTGCCCCTCTAACCCTCAGCTCATGTCAGGACAAGAAGGATGAACATGATGACGATGATTGGGGCAGCCATGATCGCGATGATGCTGCTGGTGATGGCGGCGATGAAGATGAACATGAGGATGAAGATTCAGAGTAGTAAGAAGTTGCTTATGATGACGATGACGATGGCGATGATGAATAACAATAATATGATAACGATTGGGGTGGTGATTCCTGCTCTTGTGAACAGCATGTACGCCCTAGTACGTTTCTGCTAGCTGTGATGAAACTGACTTCGTAGTCCCTTGCGTGCGAGTGCTAAATTACATGGCTTCTTCTTCTTCTTGTTCTATGTCTCTCTCTCTCTCTCTCTCCCGCTACCATCTGATGGCCCCACTGCGCGAGGCGGCTTTGCGACTTTATTCTGCGGTGCGGTGAGATATCCTGCATGGTTCACAATGTTCGCAATGAGCTGTAAGCGAACAATCAATGAATGCCGCTCGGGCTCGCCGACAGCCAAGCCAGCTAACTCGCTACCGCTTCCCTTTGGGCACACCCAACGCGTAGCTGGTTGCCCCCCTAGCTGTAAGTTCGATTCCCAGACACTTGACCCTGAGCCTGAACACTAAGGCCAGCTGCCCTTCAACGGCGACCGTGACAGCCAGAATCGTTCGATCGCTTGCTTCCATATACTCCCCAGCACGTCAAAATTATCGTCCAGCGCATCAGTCGCACCACTTGAGACAACTTTATTCTGACAGGAGAGACAGCACAACTGCTACTTTACCGCTGCTACTCCTACCGCTACCGACGACGACTATGACCACTGCTAATGCGACGACGGCGCTGACCACGATTATGCAGAGGCACACGGGAGTGAGTTATATGCTGAGGCTGACTTCTTGAAACCCTCCAGCAGGCGGGCCGGTCAGGCTGCCTCCGGGGACTCTCTCTCTTTCCCCCGACTTCTTCTCGCGTATTCAGCGAACCCTGTAAAACACGAAAAGCCTTTGCCTGCTGGGTTCTTCCAGGTATGTGCAGAAAGCCGCGGCCTGGCTTTCGCAAGTCGGGGTTTAGATTCTGGATTTGGATTGACGAGCCCCGAAGTCACGGCTTCGGGGAGGGGCCGTTATGGTTCATAACGACAAGCCTACGGTGCAGAGTTCCCCCAAACAATTTCTTCGGCTGTGAACGGTAAACGAATCAACGGCCACGAATTCCGGACTTAGAGCACAAGCCCTGCGGACTTTGGATTGCGTGCAAGGGGCGGATTGGGTTTCGCCTAGGTTGATATGAGCCGGCGTCAAAATTATTTGTTTGTGCTAGGCTCGGTTTGGGGTTAGGGCGTCCCCTATCGTTTTACAGTGAATGCAACTTGGCAATATTGTTGCATCTAGAGTATCGTCTTTAGAGCGTCCCCTATCGTTTTACAAGTCAACG